ACACACACCCACACACACACACCCACACACACCCACACACACACCCACACACACACGTGTGAGACGGGTGGGGGTCGAGAAGCAGCCCCCCCTCCCCCCCGCCTCCACCACCCCCGCCCCCCGGCATCGCGTCCGTGTAAACGGCGACAACGCGGACATCACGGGGGGGGGGGGGTCACGTGACGAGAGATAATTGGCAATTAAACGCGAATAGCAGCGGCAGAGCGACTCGGCGCAGGGAGGGGGTGGAGGTGGTTGTTAAATAATTAAATAATGCGCGCGGGGTAGGGGCAGCGGTGGGGGGCGAGACCCAGGCTTTGGAGCTGTGAGCGCAGCGAGGCGGGGCGTGTGTCAGTACAGGGTGTGTGTGTGGGTGCAGGGAGGCGGGGTGTGTGTGTGTGGGTGCAGGGAGGCGGGGTGTGTGTGTGTGGGTGCATGGAAGCGGGGTGTGTGTGTGGGTGTAATAATTGACCGGTCCACATTCTCACGTACATCACGGAATGCCTGCATCAACGCTGTCACACAAAGGCAAAGATCCCCCATGTCACCTTGAACAGACTATTGGGGCAAGTGCTGTTAACGAGGAGCACACCTGTGCGAGGGGTTGGTGGATCACACACGCACAGATGATCGCAACACTCCTTCCCTTGCCCGTGGGCATCGATTGCCCCTGTCTCCTGGCTTTCCATGGTGTGATGGCTGTACATCAAGTGGGTTGATTCACATCTGCACGGGCATTGAGTGTTAAATCCCCTCGCTCGCGCACGTACGTTTTTTTTCTTTCTTCCGGGTACTCGCGGTTCCCCTACCGCGTGTATCAACAAACGTCGCCGACGGACTTGGCCAAACATCCCACCGCAGGACCGCAGGGCTTGTCCTCCGTGCGTAATGAATGCGCGGCGCGTTACAAATTCTCTCGCCCGTCGGTTTGATCCGCGCCACCCCCACCCCCACCCCCACTCACCCCCGCTTGTACAACAAACGCCGAACACGGACGTCATCATCGCCGCTCTCTCCCAAACTCGTAACCACCTCCGAGCGGCGCATCCCCGCAGCCTCGCTCGAGTTCGTCTCCCGCGTGTGCCACGTGGCAATGGGCCGCCGTGACCGTGACAGAGCTGCTACCCACGAGGGTCGCGCTCAGTCGTCGGACTCATTTTGCAGGAGGGCTCCTTCTGCCGCCGCCGCCGCCGCTGCTGTTGCACTGGCATTTTCAGTTTACAAAAACACCAAAGAAAGTCTTTTTTTTGTGTTCAGCCAATTAATAACGAGTCGTGTCTATTGTACAAGTGGGAGAAGACCGGAGCACCGGGAGAAAACCCACGCCTTGGGCGAGGGTGAAAAACTCTATCCCCTGCGTATTTATGGACACGGATATCTCTATCCGTCTTCTCCTCATCGCTGCTCAACACAAGGGGAAGGGAGTTTCTCAACGTCATCCGTGTGTGATCCACCGACCCTCGCTGCTGCCTCCACAGCGCTGCACGGCTGTGCGACACCCACCACCACCACCACCTGTACGACACCACCGGCTGTGGGACACCCCATGTCTGAGTCGCTCAATGCCCTGCGTCACGGGACATACATTTCGGGGTATTTTAATCAAAATTCCCTGCGCTGGTGGTCTCGGCTGAACTCGTAACGAAGACAAATGTCTCCCGTACAGCCTCAACAGACTGTTGGGGCAAGTTATGTTAGCGAGCAATGCCGGAACGGCACACGAGGGGGTGGGTGGCCAACACCACGCCCGGCCGCCTTTGGCGATGTTTACACACCGCACCAGGTGCTCATTTTTCGATCTCGGGGAGGTCCAGGACCGTTTCGGATAATCGTCACTGATGTTGGCCGTGCTCGGGTCTCCGGGTTGGTAGCGCAGCGCGCTAACCGCTAACACGACTGCTCCCCGAACGTGTGAATACACACAGACACACACAGACACACAACGAAACCCGCACACACGTCCGCTACACGCATCTATACACGCATCTATACCCAGACACGCACATATATACGACAAAGATCCCCCATATCCCCATGAACAGACTGTTGGGGCAAGTGAGGTGCTGTTAGTGAGCACCTATTAACGCCAGTGGGTGGTGAGCATCACGCCCGCCCGCATCTCTCCAATGCTGATGTTTACACAGCCGTTTAATGCTAAGTCGACCTAGGGAAGGCACACGACTGGTTCGGATAATCGTTGCCGAACTCGGGCTCGCCGGGTTCCCAAACAGACGTACCCGCGTGTGAACCCACGTACACTCACAGTTATACACTCGTACACACAATATGCACAGATCCCCGTGTAGGCTGCGTAAATCGTGGGACGAGGGCTGTTAGCGAGCACCTATTATGGAGGTGTGGTCAGAACCTCGCTCCGCTCTACAATGTTGCTTTTCCACACCGCACCAGGTACTCATTTGAGGCCGAATCGACCTAGGGGAGGCCCGGGAATTGAACCCGCCAGGCTCGTAGCGCAGCGCGCTAACCGCTACACTGCCGCTCCCCATTTACACATCCACCCACAACAAAGACAAAGATCCCCCGTATAGCCTATATAGACTGTTGGGTCAATTGCTGTTCGCGAGTAGCGCCTATGAAGGCCGGCACGGCACACGAGGGAGTGGGGGGCCACAACCACGCCCGGCCGCCTTTGTCTCCCCAGTGTCGATGTTTATACACCACACCACAAACTAATTTTAGGCTTAGTCGACCTAGGGGAGGCCCAGGACCGGTTCAAATAATCGTCACTGGGTGTTGTCCGTGAGCGGGAATCGAACCCGGGTCGCCAGGGTCTTACCGCAGCGCGCTGACCGCTACACTACCGCTCCCCACTCTGGTACACGCACGCACGTGTACACACACGCACGTAAGCTAAATGGACGTAGGGGAGGTTCAGGACGTACTAAGATGACTTGCCACTGATGCCGTCGTTTCTCGACCGCACAGGAAATTCTAACTCATTTAAGGCTGAATCGACCTCGGAGAGGAGAGGTCGATTCAGCCTTCAAAGGTTCTACTTCAAATATTCCCCACTAATTTCACCGTAGCCCAGCTCGAATGCGCTAACCATTACACCTCCGTTCCCCACGAAACAAAGATAAATATCCCCTAGATAGCTTTGGACTTTTGGGGCAAGTGTTGTTAGCGAGTGGCTATGAAGGCGCAAAGACAAAGATCCCCCGTATAGCCTTAACAGACTGCAGGGGCAAGTGCTGTTAGCGAGCACCTATCAATGCCGGCACGGCACACGAGGGGGTGGGTGGCCCACACCACGCCCGGCCGCCTTTGTCTCCCTAGTGGCGATGTTCACACATCGCACCAGGTACTCATTTGAGGCTGAGTCGACCTAGGGGAGGCCCAGGGCCGGTTCAGATAATCGTCACTGATGTTGGCCGTGAGCGGGTATCGAACCCGGGTCGCCGGGTTCGTAGCGCAGCGCGCTAACCGCTACACTACCGCTCCCCACACACTTATACACACTCACACGCACGTACACGTGTCCTCACATAAGCACACGGGACACACACGTTCACAGCCCAGACTTAGAGGCTGTTGAAAGTTATGTTAGCGAGCATGAAGCACACACGGTCGGTGGGGAACAGAACCACGCCCGGCCGCCTTCGTCTCCCCAGTGCCGATGTTGGCACACTGCGCCAATGGAGTGATTTGAGGCCAAGCCCATCTAAGTAGCGACCCATGACAGTGCCAGTCAACCACCGAACATCCACCACCGCGACTCGAACTCGCCGGGTCTCGTAGCGCAGCGCACGAACCACTGCGCCACCGCTCCTCGCACGTGTATGCACACACACGCGCACGCGTATACACAGGCGTACACACACAAACTAGGTATGCACGTACACACGCGCGCACGTACAAATACCCACCCCCCCCTTCTCCGTATAGCGTTGCCAGACTGTTGGGGCAAATTATGTGAGCGAGGACCTCTGAAGACCGGCACGGCACACGAGGGGGTGGATGGCCAGCAGCACGCCCGGCCGCCTTTGTCTTCCCCAGTGCTGACGTTTACGAGACGTCGCACCCAGTTGCTCGTCGATGTAGGGGGAGGCCCTGGACCGGTTAAAAAAAATATTCGCTACTATTATTGGTCGTGAGCGGGAGTCGAACTCGGGATGCCGGGTTCGTAGCGCAATGCAATAACCACTGCGCCCCCCCCCCCCACACAAACACAAAGAGACAAACAAAGACAAAGACCCCCTATAGCCTTAACAGACTGTTGGGGCAAGTGCGGGCATCTATAAAGGCCGTTACGCCACATGAAGTGGGTGCGTGGCCAGCATCACGTAAAGAAACACACACACACACGTATACACACACATGTACACAAACACACGTACACAAACACACGTACACACACACGTACACAAACACACACGTACACACACACACACGTACACACACACGTATACACACGTACACACACACGTACACGTACACACACGTACACACACTTACGCGTAAACGCGTACATACACACACGCGTACACACACACACGCGCACACACGTACACACACACGTACACACGTACACACACGTACACACACACACACGCGTACACACACACACGCGTACACACGTACACACACACGTACACACACAAGTACACACACAAGTACACACACAAGTACACACACACGCGTACATACGTACACACACACATGTACACACACATGTACACACACGTGTACACACACGTGTACACACACGTGTACGTACACACGTACACACACGCGTACACGTACACACACGCGTACACGTACACACACGCGTACACGTACACACACGCGTACACGTACACACACGCGTACACGTACACACACGCGCGTACATGTAGACACGCTGGCGTCCTCGCGGTCTCTCGCTCCGGGCCCTGACCGCGCTCCGCAGGGAGCGAGGGGATTAAGGGAGCGGGGGATCCCCGCCCCAGGGGTAGGGGGGGTAGGGGGGGAGAGGTTAGGGGGGTAGGGGGGTCGCTCACCGTCTCAGCCGCCGGGGTTCGCGAGGTCCCCTCGGTGAGACGAAGTCCCCCTCGACGAGGATCCCGCGCGCAGAAGGAGGAGACGGGGGAGCGGAGCTGGTCGAGAGAGATGCAGAGAGTGGAGAGGGATGGAGAGGAAGAGGAGAGGGAGAGAGAGTGGGGGAGAGGGAGGGAGATGGGGGGGAGGGAGATGGGGGGGGGGAGGGAGATGGGGGGGGGTAAGAGAGGGAGGAGAAAGGAGAAGACGGGGAGGGCAAAGTAGGGGGGAGGAGAGCGACACGGGGCTAGAGAGAGAGGCACACACAGAGAGAGAGCAGAGAGGGGAGAGACACGGGGCGAGAGAGAGAGGGGAGAGACACGGGGCGAGAGAGAGAGGCACACACAGAGAGAGACAGAGAGGGGAGAGCCACGGGGCTAGAGAGAGAGGCACACAGAGAGAGAGAGAGGGGAGAGACACGGGGCTAGAGAGAGAGGCACACACAGAGGGACAGAGAGGGGAGAGACACGGGGCTAGAGAGAGAGGCACACACAGAGAGAGACAGAGAGGGGAGAGACACGGGGCGAGAGAGAGAGGCACACAGAGAGACAGAGAGGGGAGAGACACGGGGCGAGAGAGAGAGGCACACACACAGAGAGACAGAGAGGGGAGAGCCACGGGGGGAGGGAGAGGAGCCACAAGAGAGAGGAGATGAGCAGTGGGGCGGGGGAAGGTGCAGGGGGAGCAGGTGGGAGGGGGGAGGGAGAGTGTCGCTCATTCCGCGGAGCGCTCTGCCCGCCCGTGACGCTCTCAGAGCGCGGTGAATAGCGCCCCCTGCACCACTCACCCCGCATCACTCACCCCCCACCACTCACCCCCCACCACTCACCCCCCACCACTCACCCCCCACCACTCACCCCCCACCACTCACCCCGCATCACTCACCCCGCATCACTCACCCCCCACCACTCACCCCCCACCACTCACCCCCCACCACTTACCCCGCATCACTCACCCCCCACCACTCACCCCGCATCACTCACCCCCCACCACTCACCGCCCACCACTCACCCCCCACCACTCACCCCCCACCACTCACCCCCCACCACTCACCCCGCATCACTCACCCCGCATCACTCACCCCCCACCACTCACCCCCCACCACTCACCCCCCACCACTCACCCCGCATCACTCACCCCCCACCACTCACCCCCCACCACTCACCCCCCACCACTCACCCCGCATCACTCACCCCGCATCACTCACCCCCCACCACTCACCCCCCACCACTCACCCCCCACCACTCACCCCCCACCACTCACCCCGCACCACTCACCCCGCACCACTCACCCCGCATCACTCACCCCCCACCACTCACCCCGCATCACTCACCGCCCACCACTCACCCCCCACCACTCACCCCCCACCACTCACCCCCCACCACTCACCCCGCACCACTCACCCCGCACCACTCACCCCGCATCACTCACCCCCCACCACTCACCCCGCATCACTCACCGCCCACCACTCACCCCGCACCACTCACCCCGCACCACTCACCCCGCACCACTCACCCCGCACCACTCACCCCGCATCACTCACCCCCCACCACTCACCCCGCATCACTCACCCCCCACCACTCACTCCCCACCACTCACCCCCCACCACTCACCACTCACCCCGCATCACTCACCCCCCACCACTCACCCCCCACCACTCACCCCCCACCACTCACCCCGCACCACTCACCCCGCACCATCACCCCGCATCACTCACTCACCCCGCACCACTCACCCTGCACCACCATCACCCTGCATCACAACAATCCTCCCTATAGCTTGGTGGGCAGCTGCTGTGAGCGAGCACCGATTGTGAAGGCCGGAGCGGCGCACGAGGAGTTGGTGCCGCTGGAACCACGCCCGTCGCCCCTTACACGCCGACCACATTCAGGCCAAGTCGAACTAGGGGAGGCCCAGGTCGGCTTTTGAAAATCACTCGCCACTGATGTTGGCCGTGGCCAAGAATCCAACCCAGGCGCGGGTCGATTCGTCGAACATTGCGCGAGCGACTGCGCCGCCCATCGCATCCTGAACCAGACCCCCCAGACTCCCCCACAGGGTTGCGGAGGTCGGGAAGTGCAGGGGGGGGGGGGGGTGTAGGACGTGGGGGTACGAGGGGGTCACCGATCTCAGAGTCGAGAGCCCCACCTCCCTCCTCCCCCTCCCCTCCCGGCCAGCCCGCTCCCCCGCCGACGCCCTCCACCAATGCCCCCCCCCCCCCCCCCCAAATGAGAATCCGCGGAGATCGCATCTCAGGGCGCGAGCTCAGGAAATGAGTCGCGCTGCCTTTCATGTGGAGCCCGGGGCGCGCGCGGGGGGGGGGGGGGCGGCGGGGGAACAGGAAGGTAGGGGGGGGGGTGTGGGAGGAGGGGAGCGTCAAGGAGACCGCGGGGAACCATGGGGGGCGGTGTCTCCAAGGCGCACATCCCCTCGACTTATCCCCGTTAACCCCCCCCCTCCCACACACGCTCATCACGTCACCGCGCGCGCGCGCCCCGGACACAGACCCCCCGCCTCCCCTGTGGACCCCAAGTTCGCGACCCCGACCTGCTCTGGGCTCACCGTCCGGTAATTCACTCACTCACCCCCACCTCCTCACCAACCCCCTCCCTCTCCCCCCCCCCGGCTCCCACCCCCCCCCCCTCCCAACACCACCCTAGGGGTTCAGATCCATAGGCGTGGAGAGGCGGAGACGCGAGTTTAAGCAGAGAGGCTTTTTATTAATCAGTCTCGGGGCGCTCGCGGGGGGTCATTAATAGAAGAGGCGGGGGTATCGAGCGGTGAACACTCAGCGTGACAGGTCAATCAGACGGGAATGATCGTGGACGCCCCCGGCAAAACAGCCCCCCCACAGCACACGGCACAGACAAAGATCCCCCGTGTATCCCGCACGCATTGTTGGGGCGAGTGCTGCGAAGCGATGTAGCAGCGATGTGAAGGGCGGCAGGGCACGCGAGGGGGGGGAGGGGTGTAGTGCCCAGCGCCACGCATCAAAGCACCCACGCCGGACGCCTTTGTTTTCCCCGTGCTGACGTGTACACACCATGACATTTAAGGCTGAGTTGACCTAGGGGTGCGTCCCCCACCCCCCGGCGCCAGGACCGGTTCAGATATTCGTCACGGTTATTATTCGTGAGTAGGAATCGAGGTCGGGTCGCCGGGTTTGTAGCGCAGTGAAGTGCTCACCGTTTAAATACCGCTTCCCACATTGACCCCGTCACACACTGACGCACATCAACACACATATACACCACACCGTCATACATCCACATCACCATCTCGCACACTTCCCATCCAGGTGCTATGGAAATTCCCCACTCGTCTGCGGTAGCAGACCGACAGGGAATATATATGGATATATGGCTTCTCTGCAGGACCGCCCCGTTCTGAAATCACAATGGGGCTCCGTAAGCCTCTCCTCAGCATGCCTGGCAAGGCGATGTTGAACAATCCTTGCCAGGACTTTTTTCCCGGCCTCACACCGAGGAAGAGGGAGATACCCCTGTTGTTACAATCTGTGATGTTCCCCCATCTCCTTGATCGTATCTTCCACTACTTGCGGAACCTGTCCTGTGAACCAGACGATTGCAATGAAGTCATGTTAGGGGCAACCTGTGCGCAAACGCCACCCTCCCTCGTCAGTTCTCCCCCTCCCGAGACATCGTGACAAAAATCTCGAGTAAGTATGCAGACCCGTTCCTGAGGGTCTCAGATCAAAATCTTGCGCCTCGATTGAGGCAGTTTCCATCTGCTCAGCAACCCGCGACCGCCACTCAACTTGGGTCCTCTGAACCTCCCGAGTGAAAGTTTGCGGTAAACCTCCGAATTCTCTAACGTGGGACATTGTAGACCGTGAGAGGTGGGCCCGCCGCTTTCTCTCACCTCCTCAGTCGCCCAGGGTCTCTAGGGAGGGTCTGGACAAGGGATTTAATGGAACCATTGCATCTGTGTGAGCCACAGTCCCAAACGTCGCTTTATTTCCCTCTCGGCGACAGCAAGGGAAAATGCCAATCCCAGCTGCAGGCAATACTTTAATTCTGGATTGCAATTTGCCCACAGCTGAGACCAGCCTACTGTGGGTTTAAATAAGGCCCTGGGTGGACGCCCAGAATGGCATGCGCATCAGAAGTTAACGGTAAAATGAACAGATCATCTCCAAAAAAAACCCGCCACTTTTTTCAAATTTTTTGCAGTGGTTTTCACACCTGATGATGATTGCTTGTGTTCCAGTCGAAACGTCGTGAGAATTTTATTGTTTTATATTTTTATTATTTTATTGTTTCCCTTCTACGTGACTTTACCGAAAGAACCAAGAATATAGATCATCTACACGTTAGTTCCTGGTGTCAAGGACACAGGCCCTCATTCGCTGCTCTGCCATTACACAGTCCAACAGACGTTCTTGCTTGTGCCTGGTGTGCACTCAAGATGTTGTGTGGATGCGCAGATGACAGAACAGCGTGTTGGTAATTACAATCTCATGGGCTGCACACGAAAAATTGTAATGGCCTCCTTCCGTTATTTTTGGTCTAATCGAGCCCTTGCCTTCCAATTACTCTTACCCAAGAGCAAACATCACGACTCCCTCGGTTATTAAAGTAACATCATGAAATGATTCCGTACCAAAGGGTTAACTTATCTATCGGAGGTCATAGAAGGCATATGACTCATCAGCCTTGGCTGCATTTCTCCACATGGGCTAACTTTCTGTGTGGTGCAAAAACAACCACCACTATTCATCACCTCTTGTTCATAAGGAGGCCAGCCCACAACAGCCTGAGACTCACGGCTTCCTACACCTCACCACCATGCTCCCAACGTCCCATCATTATTTTATTCAAAAAATTCCTGGCCAGTGGTGATGGTGGCTGATAATACCTTCATATTTAGAGGACCGCAGAGCTTGGGCAATTGTTCGGGCCAGCTCACCGTCGGTGGTTCCTCGCGCCTCTGAGTCGTAATTTCTCTCTTTGAGAGTGAGTGAACGCTGTGTGCGTTACAAGTTGACATTATTATAATTATTAGAGGAGCCACTCAGTGTCGTTTGATGTTATCCTGTCCCGAATAGAGGACAATCTTACCCCTCTGGATGATGGAAGCCAGAACCATTCCACTGCGTGCTTCTGTATTCCACAGAGATCCAGGTGGTACAGATGCAGCTCCTGACAGATGAATGGCAGCCTCTCCTCCCCAGTGAGCGTTTAGACATTCCACGTGGCCAGCCGTAGCGATCGCTTGTTGTTTATGGAGACTCCCCAGGGTGATGGGGGGGGGGTCAGTGCCCTGACTCTGCCAATTGGGATTTGGCCAGGAGACATCATGGGATGCCTGTTCCCTCGGGCCTCTGGCGCAGCCTCACATTGATATCCCTATCCGTGGTCATTTGGCAACTCCCTTCAGGTGGAGAGGTCCCCCAGGTCATCGCGCAGAGTCTCCACCCGCTGCCGCGGTGGTGGCTTCGAGCGCCGCGAAGGGAGTGAGCCGACCTGTCACGTGAACTCGCCTCGCCAGTGACGTCGCTCGCAACACCGTGGCGTCACAGTCGGGCGCCGCCACGAGGAGGTGCGAGCGTTTTGCCAGACCGACATCAGCGCCGTCAATCAGCACACACGCGCACGCGAGCCCCAACGTGAACAAGAGGCTTGAGACTACGCGGAATACAAATTTAGGAAAATAACTCAAGCATCCATTCGCTCACCCGCCCACACACTCGCTCACTCACTGGCCCGCCCGCTCGCTCGCCCACCCGCTCGCCCACCCACCCACTCGCTCGATCACCCATCCACTCGCCCACCCGCTCGCTCGCCCACTCGCTCACCCACCCGCTCACTCGCCCACACGCTCGATCACCCGCCCACCCGCTCGCTCACCCACTCGCTCACCCACCCACCCACTCGCCCACCTGCTCGCTCGCTCAACCACCCACTCGCTCACCCACACGCTCGATCACCCGCCCACCCGCTCGCTCACCCACTCGCTCACCCACCCACGCGCCCACCTGCTCGCTCGCTCAACCACCCACTCGCTCACCCACACGCTCGATCACCCGCCCACCCGCTCGCTCACCTACTCGCTCACCCACCCACCCACTCGCCCACCCGCTCGCTCGCTCGCTCACCCACCCACTCGCTCACCCACCCGCTCGATTACCCGCCCACCCGCTCGCTCACCTACTCGCTCACCCACCCACTCGCCCACCCGCTCGCTCGCTCACCCACCCACTCGCTCACCCACCCGCTCGCCCACCCATCCGCTCGATCACCCACCCGCTCACTCACCCACCGGCTCGCTCACCCAATTTCTCCACTCGCCCACTCACTCACTCAGATCACAACTGCTTCTTCCCTCGCACCGCTCCACGTTGGAATCCCCTCCTCCCATCATTGTCTCTTTTCCCAACCTCGCTCAACTCAAGACACGCGTCACGCTCTTATCTATTTACAACTTTGACAGTTCCGTTTGTTGCTGACCGTTTGACGTTCTAGCCCTAACCGTGCCCCGCAGCCGTTGTGCTCAGCGGGGCCCTCCCTCGCCGCGCATTCCTCGTCCCTCGCGGCGCCAAACCGAATGAGTCGACTCGTGAATGAACGAGTGAGTTAATGAGTGATTTAGTATCGGAGCCGTCACCCCCGCCGCGCCCCCCCCCCCCCCCCCCCACAACGCTGCGTCACTCGACGCCAAAATTCGCGCATCAACTCCTCGCGTCGTGCAGGAGGGGCTGTCCAACACGGGGGGGGGGGACGGGGGGAGGGGGCCGGCATGGGTGGGTCGTAGTTGGGGGGTGGGTGGGGGGTGGTGGTGGTTCGCAGGGGGAACGAGCAACACCATTAAAATGGCGATTTAGACGCAGTAAAATAAATTTACACAGATGTCAGGGAGGGAGGAGGCGGCGGCGTGGGGGAGGAGGACGGAAAGGCGGGGGGGGGGGTGTAGGGGGGGCGGGGTGTAGGGGGGGCGGGGTGTGGGGGGGAGGGGTGGCGGAGCGACTCGCGCGCGTTCTCATTCGGGTCACGTGCGCCCTCGCGTGCACGCGCCTCGCGCTCCGCTAATTACACATCATGGGGGGCGCGGGGTTCCAGCCGTCACTAGGGGGGCGGGGGGGGGTGTGGGGGGGGCAGAGGGGGGCGGAGAGGGGCGGGGTAAAAGGGTGAGGTTGTGTGTGTGTGTGGGGGGGGGTGTCAAACGTGATGTTGCTCCCCGTGCCGTGCTCTCACACACACTCGCGGTGACACTCACACTGACCCACTCAACATTGACCCACTCACAGTGACACGCTCACTCCATTTGTAGTGACGCACCAACAGTGGTACTCACGAAGACGAATAGCCTTGGACGGTGTCCGTTCAACAGCTGTGAGCGAGCATCTATGAAGGCCCGCTATGGCGCACGACGGGGTGGGTGACTATAACCGCCTTTGTCTCCCTAAGTGGCGATGTTTACACACCGCACCGGGCAGTCTAATGATGCCGAGTCGACCTAGGGGGATGCCCAGGCCTGTGGTTGTCCGTGAGCGCGGAATCAAACTCGGGTGGCCAGGTTCGTAGTGCGGCGCTCTGACCACTACAATCAGAGACACGCAGTGGTCTAGACTCATGCAAGGTGGCAAATGTGTCCAGGAGCTAGATGCCAATGTCGAGATCCTGCTACTGCTGCTGCTACTGCCACGACGAGGTGGCTTCAGCACAGAGAGAGAGAGAGCGGTGATGCCGGTCTTCCTCGCCGCTTGAAGGATCGCGAGACCGCAGTGCGGTCCACACTTTGCTGCATGGTCACGATCGCAACCAGCGTGGCTTGTCTTTAAGTGATCTATGTATCTCTACGGGTCTCTATGGGTCCCTATGAGTCTCAGTGGATCTCTATCTTCTTCATGCTTAGGGCAATATGTCCAGGAGGTGGATGCCCAACGTGGAGGCCTGCTGCTGGCCACGACGAGAGGGCTTCGGCAGAGACAGAGAGAGAGAGTTGGTGTCGTTTCGCCGTTCTTCCTCCCCCCCCCGTCGGTGTTGTCGTCTCTTTAGAGTCGTGGCCAGAAAGTCACGCCGAGGCCTTGAGAGTCCCTCGACGTTCCGCTGGCTCACTCGGAGACCTCGTCCGACCATCGGTTTGTGGCCCTTAATCGGCAGAGGGCCTCTTTCCGACACCACGGCTCGACCGCTCGACCCCTGCAGGGTTCGCGAGGTGCGCATCGCCCAGACGCCGGCGGGTGAGTCGCGGCTACGGTGGCGTGGAGACGCGTGCCGGGTGGGGCCTCTGCGAGGAGGTGGTGGAGGTGGTGGAGGAGGTGGTGAAGGAGGTGGTGGAGGAGGAGGTGGTGGTGGAGATGGTGGAGATGGTGGAGGAGGTGGTGGAGGATGTGGTGGAGGAGGTGGTGGAGATGGTGGAGGAGGTGGTGGAGGAGCTGGTGGAGGAGGCTACCGCGTCCCACCCGCACCCACGCTCACAGCGACTCACCAACCACGACGCTACCGCCCCCCGTGCACGCGCAGTGCCACCGCCGCGTGTGCCGACGTCGCGGTCCCAATTTGACCTCAAACTCGCTCGCCAGGCACCTCCCAACAGCGGCGGCGGCGGCAACATCATCGCCCCACCCCCCACACCACCCCCACCCCATCCACCACCCCACCCCCACCCCCCACCCCACCCACCACCCCACCCCCACACCACCCCCCACCCCATCCACCACCCCACACCATCCCCCACCCCACCCCCCACACCCCACACCACCCCCCACACCCACCCCCCACCCACCCCCCACCCCACCCACCACCCCAGCCCCACACCACCCCCCACCCCACCCACCACCCCAGCCCCCCACACCACCCCCCACCTCCCACACCACCCCCACACCATCCCCCACCCCCCACACCCCACCCCACACCACCCCCCCCCCACCCACCCGACCCCTGACGGCACCCTCCTGAGAGCGAGTCACGGCACCCACGCGTGCCTGGGTGACCACCACACGCAGCCATGCCAATGATGAGGCAGCCACGGGGGCATTCCTCGGCCCCGCCCACAGTTCCCCGTTCCAACTGACGTCATCCGATAAACAAAGTCCGACTCCGCCTCCTCACTGCCTACCCCCACCGACGGGTCGGGAGGGGGTCACTTGTCACCTCGGGGGGGGGGGGGGGGGGGTTGCGTCTCCCCCTCGCTCATTAAGCGGAGCTAAACGTTCTGATTGCTTCCGCGGAATTAAACGGCGATCAGAGAGATGAGTGGCGACAGTGGGGGGGTTGGGGCGTGTGGGGGGGTTACCCCCACATCCCCCACGCCCCCCACGCCCCCCACGCCCCCCACACCCTCCCTCACCCCCCACCCCCCTCGCGGGGGAGCAGGAATTGCCATTTACAGCGATTAATCGCGACGTCGAACGAGATTCAGAATAATTCATTCAATCGCGAATTCGTGATTCATTCAATCGCGAATTCGTGACTCATTCGTGAGGTGGATGGGAGGGGGTAGTGGGTGGTGGTGGGGGGGGGTTAAATCCTTCATTCGTTCGCGGTTCATTTCATAAATCCGTTCACTCCGATCGTTCACAATTAACTCACTCGGTCATCAACTCATTCATTTCCGCACGATTTCAATCCATCAACGCGATCGTGGCTCACTCACGAGTCATTCAATTTTGCATTCATTCATCCTGTTTGGGGACGTCTATTTCTTCGTTATTAATCCGCGAGTGAACGTTTAAAGGGACCTCAAACGTGTTTTTGTGTTAACTGAAGAAACATTCCGTCACTCCGTTCAGTTATTCGCGGTTCGTTCACTCATTTCGTGAGCGATTCACAAATTCACTCGCGCTCCCATTCGCGCATTCACTCGCCACTCACTCGCAAGTTAATTCACAAACTCTCACGCTCTCTCTCTCTCGCTCTCATTCATGACCAAATTCCACCATTCAGAATCACAATCGTACTTTATGCTGGAGGAATCCGATGAGCTGTGAAGCTCTTTTTTCACAGCACGTTCCATTCGTTTACCCGCGTTTCGCTTTCGTCTCCTCCCATTCACTCATTCATTCGTGCTCCGAGTTGACTCATTCAGTTTTGCACCGATGGCCCAAAAACGACGGACGGCCAGCAATAAATGGCACTGTCAAAGTTGTAACGGATAAGAGTGCGCAACGCGTGTCTTGAATTGAACGCGCTTATTGTTTTAAGGGCTTGGGGAGAGCGACGATGATGGTGGAGAGGGACTTCCAGGGTGGAGTGGTGCTCAGGAAGAAGGAACAAGAGAAGTGAGGTGACCTGCAGTGTGGTGAGTGCGTGGCGAATAGTTGGGTGGGTGAGTAGTTGGGTCGGTGAGTAGTTGCGTGGGTGAATAGTTGGGTGGGTGAGTAGTTGCGTCGGTGAGTAGTTGCGTGGGTGAATAGTTGGGTGGGTGAGTAGTTGGGTGAATAGTTGGGTGGGTGAGTAGTTGGGTGGGTGAGTAGTTGGGTGGGTGAGTAGTTGGGTGGGTGAGTAGTTGGGTGGGTGAGTAGTTGGGTGAGTAGTTGCGTGGGTGAGTAGTTGGGTGGGTGAGTAGTTGGGTGGGTGAGTAGTTGGGTGGGTGAGTAATTGCGCGGGTGAGTAGTTGGGTGGGTGAGTAGTTGAGTGGGTGAGTAGTTGCGTGGGTGAGTAGTTGGGTGGGTGAGTAGTTGGGTGGGTGAATAGTTGCGTGGGTGAGTAGTTGGGTGGGTGAGTAGTTGGGTGGGTGAGTAGTTGGGTGGGTGAGTAGTTGCGTGGGTGAGTAGTTGGGTGGGTGAGTAGTTGCGTGGGTAAGTAGTTGCGTGGGTGAGTAGTTGGGTGGGTGAGTAGTTGCGTGGGTGAGTAGTTGGGTGGGTGAATGAGTGAATCAGTGTTAGTGGATGGGTGAGTGATTGTATGTGTGAGTAGGTGGGTGTGTGTGTGGGTGGGTGAGTGAGTGGGTGGGTAAGAGTGTGGATAAGAGTGTGGGTAGAGTGTACGTGAGAGTGTGGGTGGTTAAGTGTGTGGGTGGAATATCTTCGCCGGTTAGAAACATTTAGGCTGGCCTGCCTACGATCAATCCTGGGTTTAACCAGGCTGGATTGTGTGAGGAGCTCACAAATCCTCGAAAGATCTGGACAAAGTCCCATCGGTGAGCACTTCCGGCAGGCAAGGCTGCGTTGGTTGGGCCATGTAGCCCGCATGCCCAATCACCGGATGACCAAACAGCTTTTGTTCGGCCGGATCGAGGGGGCTAGACGGGGGTGGCACGGGCTAGAAAAGAGATGGAGTGACGTGGTACAGGAGGATGTGGAGCTGAGTGGATTTGCCGATGACTGGTACCAGCTGTGTCAAGATCGGCCTCAGTGGAGGAGGCTCGTGAAGGACGCTACTGGGGAATTGGAGACAGTCGCCCTCCAACAACAACGGAGGGCGGAGGAGCGACGCTCACAACAACGAGCAGAGCGCCGAGTGGCTAAAGCACAGCAAGTTGGCACAGTAGGGAGCACAGGTGGTGCATCAGCTAGTCATCTCGGTCATCTCAGTCAGTCGACCCGTGGCACCTGGGTCTGCCCCGTGACCTCCTAGCAGCGGGCGTTCGACACTTCACATGCCTCAAGGTGCACATGGCCTGGCACAAGCGTCGTGGTGACGTCACCGCCACTTAGTGGCGAATGGCGGTTGTGTTGTTAAGTGTATGTGTGAGTAGGTGGATGCATGGGTGGGTAGGTGGGTGCGTGGGTGGTAGGGTAGGTGGGTGCGTGGGTAGGTGGATGCGTGGGTGGGTAGGTGGGTAGGTGGATGCGTGGGTAGGTGGATACGTGAGTGGATTGGTGGATGAATGTGTGTGAAAGTGAGTATGTGGATGTGTGTGTGAGTGGATGAGTTAGTGTGTATGTGCGTGAGTGAGTGAGTGGATGAGTGAGTGAGTGGATGAGTGTGTGAGTGGATGAGTGAGTGAGTGGATGAGTGAGTGGGGGCGGAGTAGAGGTTGTGGAGTCGGCAATTAAATCCGACCAATGGGCGTGGGACGCGTCACGTTCATAATCCCTCCCCACCCCCGTCGTCTCCCCCCTCTTGGTTATTAATTACCCGCGGCTTAATTAGCACGCAGCTCCATTACGCAGCCGTGGACAAGGCCCGTGGCAGGAGGCGGGGTTGGGGGGGGTGGCTTTCCAGAGGGCTAGAGGGGGGGAAGGGGGCGAGAATGATTTAGGGGGCCTAAGAGTCATGACCTCATGGAGGTCTCAGCTTCCTCTCATTTCAGGCCGAGTGGACCTAGGGGATGTCCCTACCGCTCGTTCTCTTCAAATCCAATTACCGATTGTTAACGAGCCGTGACCACGTGACTGGCTCAGCCTCGACCCTAAATGGGGGCGGGGTGGGGGTGGGGGCGGGGTGGGGGCGGGGTGGGGGCGGGGTGGGGGCGGGGTGGGGGCGGGGGTGGGGGCGGGGTGGGGGCGGGGTGGGGGCGGGGCGCCAACACCCCCCCCTCCCTCGTTACCGCGCTCGGCTCAAATTAACTCTCGGGCTCGGTCACGTGATCACCTGCCACGTGCTTTAATTAGCGGCACCTCGCGCGACACCTGCTCAGCTCACCTGGCGCGCAGAGGTGGGGGGAGGGGCGGGGCGGGTCGTGGGCGGTGATGGGCGGGCGATGATGCGACCCCCACCACCACCACCACCCCTCCCCCTTCCTCGCAGCATGATCCGCTCATCGCTCCGAATCAAAGTCGCATCGAATGCTCGAATTACGCTCCCCTTCATCCGCCCCCTCCCACCCACCGCACCCCCGCCCCTCTGTCCTCCCTCCGTCTGTTCCACCACTTTCCTTACCCCACACTCTGCACCGAAACTCACACGGGGGAGCCCCCCGATCCCGATTCGCCCGCCCGCTCGATGATTCGGGAGACCGAACTCAGCTTTTTGTTGGAGGTAGCCACGAATGGGGTCGACTCTTCGTATGCGAATTAAAATAAACAAACGCGCACCGTCGCTAATCGGGACACACTTTGTTTTTGGTAAATGCAAATCTCAAGAGGGCCCCCCCCGTGATGTTCACAGGGCTCCTGTGACCCACGGCGACGTCTCACAGCAATCCGCCGGTTCCCTGCCACGGTGAACATTCTGCCACCAAATAGCCGCAGAGACTCGCGAAACGTTCGTCGAGCAAGGCGCTAGACGATGTTCCTCGCTACCATTGAGTGAACGTGGCGCGCTCTCTCTCTCTTACGAGCTTTAGGAAAACTCGCAACGCCCTACATCTCATCTCAAGCATTCTCAGAGCAACCCACCACCATCGCCACCCCCCAGTGGCAGCTGTCCCTGTGCGGCACGAGGTGCTCCAAGCACCTTGGGGTTTACAAAGCCGACGCGAGTCCGCCAGAATGGGGGCACGATAGCCGTGTGAGTCATTTGTGAGTGATTTTTGTGGTTGTTGTTGTTGTAATTTCCTTGTCAATGGAACCGAGTTTGACAGCGCGCGGGTTTATAAGAGACATCATCGTGGCCAGGAGGGACTGCGCCCCGGGCGGTCGAGACGCGCAAGGGAGTGGCGGATTTAAGAAAGGAAGCGCGTCTGGAAGGGCGTCCGCCCAGGAGATGGAGCGATAGGACGTCTCATTCGTAAGGAATGAGCATGGATTGTTGCATCGCAGGCCCTGTGAGAGACGCCGACGGCATTAGGGGAGTGTTTCATCGAGCGCTGGACAGATTAGGGATGTCGTCGCCGCCGATGATGATGATGATGACGAGGGTTTGTCCGTGTGGTCTCGCCGTGCGCGCTTGTGCCGTCCCAGCCTTCATTGGTGCTCGCGAAGAGCTCTTGCCCGAGCAGTCTGTGGAGGCTTTACGGGGGAGGCGGGGGGGGGGGGTCTTTGTCTTTGGGCGGAGGCGCTCGAACCCCGTCGAGCTGGGTTTGATTCCTAACTTGGGCCAACAACAGTCGAGAAACATCCCCTAGGTGTGACGTCAACGCTGGGGAGACAAAGGCGGCCTCCCACCGGCCTCGCGCGCCGTGCCGACCTTAATAGGTCCTCGCAAACATCACTTGGCCAACGCGCGGAATGGACCTCGCCTCCGTCTTTGTTCTCTGCGCATGTTTGTCCCGTGGTCGTACCCCCTGATTGAGCCTCGATGTTGACGAGGGGTGATTCATCCCCGCTGCGCCGAGATAATTACGATCATAACACGCAGGGTGTTAGGCGGGGAGGGGTCGCCCCCGACGTTACAAGCACTGAGCCTTGACCGTGTGTATACAGGACGAGGATGCAGGGAACGGGAGACTTGGGATAGGAAGGGAGAGTGCAGCGAGGGTGTGGGAGGATGGGGAAATGGGGGGGGGGGTCCAGGTGGGAGGGAAGGGGTGGATAGTGGGGGGGGGGATGAGAGGGAGAGTGGGGGGGGGGGGTCTCAATTCCCAGCCGAGTCACGTCTCTAGCTTCGAGCGGCGAGGACGCAAGGGGGGGGGGGGGGGGCGGGGGACAATTAGACTCCAGCTGTGTGTATCTGTGTGTGTCTCAGTGTATGTGTCTGTGTGTGTCTTTTGTCTGTTTGTGTCTTTGTCTGTGTGTGTCTTTTCTGTGCGTGGGGAGCGACGGTGTAGCGGTTAGCGCTACGTTGCGCTACGAACCCGGTAACCCGGGTTCGATTCCCGCTCACGGCCAACACGCAGTGAAGATTATCTGAACCGGTCCTGGGCCTTCCCTAGGTCGACTCGGCCTCATATGAGTACCTGGTGCGGTGTGTAAATATCGCCACTGGGGAGACAAAGGCGGCCGGGCGTGGTGTTGGCCACCCATCCCGTGTGTTCGTGCCGGCCTTCATAGGTGCTCGCTAACAGCACTTGCCCCTTACAGTCTGTTACAGGCTGTACGGGGGATCTTTGTCCTTGTCTTTTTGTGTGTGTGTCAGAATGTGCGTGTGTCCTGAGTTTGTGTGTCTATGTGTGTTGTCTGAGTCGATGTGTCTGTGCGTGTTGTCTGAGTCTGTGTGTTTCTTTGTCTTTGTGTGTGCGTTCCTGTGTTTTTTTTGGTCCTTGTTGTGGGGAGCGGTGGCGCAGCGGTTAGCACGCTGCGTTTCGCACCTGGCCACCCGAGTTCGATTCCCGCTTATGCCCACGACCAGCGACGAACATCTGAACCCCCTCTTGTGCCGTGCCAGGCTTCATAGGTGCTCGCTAACAGCACTTGCCCCAACAGTCTGACTGCAGTATGGCTTTAAGGGGGATCTTATAGTTGTACTGTATATGTGAGCGTTTCTAGGAGTCAGAGCCATGTGATGTTGACCTTGGGGTGCGTAAGAGATGTCCTT